TTTTTTTTTTTTTTTTTTTTTTTTTTTTCATTTTTTATTTCTTTTATGAGTGCTTCGGAAGAATTTGCTGATTTTATTTTCTTTGACGCTTCAGTGCCTGACTTCCATATTCTTCGGTGTTTTCTACTTACATTTGCAATTTATCCAGGAATAGGATACGCGTTGGCCAAACAGTTTCTGAAAGCAGGTGACAATGTTGTCATCTGTTCACGATCAGGTAACATTTGCACTATGATCATCATGATACTTCTTCTCGACCTTCTTTCTCCTCCCGTTCATGTACGCTCCCACAGGACTGTAAATATATCTGTACAGGATTTTAGAACATTAACTAAAGAATTTCCTTTTTGAATACTCACACACCCACTCACCCACTAATATAATCGTTGCATGTAGAGGTCATTTTCAGTCTTGTTCAGGGTAGCACCTTTCTGAATGATTGTAGATTACTTTGTAAATAGGCATGGGGTTGTTTTTGTAATTTATTTCATCCATATTGTCAGCTATAGGATATTAGTCTAATTCGGCTATCTGGAGAAGCTTGAATCCGTAGTTTCAATCTTTTACATGTTACGAATTTCTCTGTCTCAAAGAATTTCAAAATTTTCCGTTATTTTTGAATTTGAAAGATATGGGTTCTCATCTGTTTGTAATTATTTTTAATTTATTGACCTAAGCCTGGTTCACATTAATTATTATTATTTTGTGTTGATTGATTAGGTATGGATTCTAGTCATTCTCGAGATTTTGCACCTTTATAGTTCTTGTGTTGATTCGTTTTTCCTCCATTTCGGTAGGAATGTCTAGGATTATCAAGATGCTCACGATTTTGTAATTTTATGTTGATTTCCATTTTGATTTATGGTTACTGTCAGCTTCATAGTAGGGTGTGACTTGCACTCGTTAAAGCTGTTTAAGTTTACAATAAAGTTACTATCATGAAGCAGTTTAAGTTTCGTCTGTTAATGTAATGCACTAAATTTACAATAACACCACTTGAGGTACGTTTGTTGCATTTGCTCCACAAATCTTTAACAGCTGAGAGGGTTGAGTCTTCTGTTCAAAGCCTGAGGGAAGAATTTGGGGAGCAGCGTGTGTGGGTACCTCCTGCTAGACTTTTTCATTTAAATTTTTCTCTGCAGGAGTTCATTTACCATTTTTCTATCATTTCATTGTTTCCATGTATATTTACAATTAAAGCAGTTGCCGATGCTTCAAGCTCATTGTTTTAACTCTAATTCTCCTTTTCAGGGTACTAGATGTGACGTGCGAGAAGGAGAGGATGTAAAGAATTTAGTCACATTTGTGCAGAAAAATCTTAAATATATTGACATTTGGGTATTTACTTCAAATTCTTCCTTCTCATTGCCTTCTACACAAAGAGCGTCGCTATCTTGATTTCTATTTTCTAATAACTTGAACATATGTTTATTTGACATCAAAGAACCTATATGATATTTTCACTCTAAAAGAAAACCTATATAATATTGAATATATTAGGCAGGTGGCCTCTAAGGTTTGAACTTAAATATGTAACCTTGAGACCATCTAAATTACAACTTGTCTCTTTTACTATTGATTGATTCATGGTGGTTGTGATGTGGTTAATATAGCAACTCGATTGAAACCTTAGAGATTTCTTGATAGTAGAGCATGATGTCTGTCCTAGAATGATTCAGATATTACAAGATATATATACATGTATACTCCTTTCATACTTGAGTAATTAAGCAAACAGTACAGATAACGATATCAATTATGATATAGTAGCTGTTGAAATGAGAAAAATCTGTCCTGTATGTTGATGCTATTGACATGTCCACCAAAAAGGTGCCTCAACCCGTTTGTCATATGATGTGAATAGCCGTATCATGTCATGGAGGCCTGAGTAGTGCTGGCCTAAAGCAAATACAATTCTTAGATATTTTCAAACAAAGTGTACATTTTCATAATATACAGTTTCAATATGGCAATGTCCGCATATCATAGGAAACTGGACTTAAAAGAACTAAAAACGTTTCATTTTGTTCTATTTAAATTGTTGATCAATTTTGAAGGCCATGAGAGGATATGACGAGTCTGTTGTTTTATGCCCTATAGTTAATTTGGTCAATTTTGTTTGCTTCTATTGCCATTTTAACTTATTGCAAGAACAATGCAGATCAATAATGCAGGATCAAATGCTTATAGCTTTAAGCCTTTGGTCGAGGCATCAGATGAAGATCTCATGTGAGGTTACTCCTGATCTCCAAACCTCAATGACATGAAATAGAAATCCTTTTGGTTTATTCCTTAGACACTCTCTAATGCAGCGAAGTTGTCACTACAAATGCTCTTGGTTTGATGATATGTTGCCGAGAGGTATGTACTGCTTCATCATACACTCTTCGACATTTTTAGCTTGTAAATCATGCATAGTTCCTGACTTCTTGTTTAGGCAATAAAGATGATGTTAAACCAACCTCGAGGGGGTCATATTTTCAACATTGATGGGGCTGGTTCTGATGGACGACCTACCCCTAGGTGCTGTTTTCTCTATCATTTGCTTTCTCTCTTTTGTCTGAGGTCGTCATGATGCTGTTATCTTATGTATAATTTTTTTAAGAAGAATGGAGAAGACATGGGAAAAGCACGAGAAATCTGTGATTCATTTAGATGACATGCACAATGTGCTCAATCTTATATGATGGACCTGCTTTGGAAATTGCAGCGGTGCAATGGCATCTACTAATTTCAGGGATCCTTTTATTTCCATTACTTGAATAAAAGATGGAGCGAATAGTTTTATGCTGAAACATGGATGGATTTCTGACGAATATAAGGATTATCTCATATGCAATTATTAGGATTATCAGTTTGAATATCTATACTAGACAAGACTGCAAAACTCCGCTTGTTTATGGGTGTGCTAGAAAACTGTGTAATGATTGATTTTGTTTCTTTTTTTGGTAAGACAAATTGTTATTTTTTCAAGGAGGCTATTAAAGTGGGTTAACGTTATTTATATGCATTCACCCTGTTTATGTAGTGGTCACTTACTCTGTAACTGAAAAAAAGAAATGTTGTTGGTTGATCTCTGTCTTTCCTTAGGTTTGCTGCATATGGGGCAACTAAAAGAAGTGTTGTCCATTTAACGAAGTCATTACAGGTACTTGCTTACCTTATTTAGCTAATGTCTTAAATAAAATAAAACAATCATTTAGTTTCTGTTATTAATCCTAAACTGGCTACTTGAGCCTCTTTCTCTCTCTCACACGCACACACTCATCACGCGCACACACTAATAAATTAGTTTCATTCGGGATCGTACTTTAAATAGGAAGCATCGATGCGTTATGCAGCAAATAGAGTAATCTGCATCAGCTCTGTTTGATTCAAATATAGTAGTCATACCGAGGATGATCAATTTTGACCACTTATAATATTGGGAAGAAACTCTATTAGCATTTGGAGTGTCTATCTGGGGTGGCCTAAGTCATGAAGATCCCTGGACTATATTGTTGGGTGAACAATCATTTCAAGAGCCAAATACCACCAGAATCTAACAATGAAGTCCTAGGAAAGTCCCTGCCATCAAGACTCTAAAGTACTATGGTTTCTGTAAGCAACCAAAAAGTAATTGAAAAGGGTTTGTCATTTGTCGTTAAGAAATATAAAGAATCTAACTTCTTGTTTCTCCTCATTCATATTCTCTTCTATTCCTTTTCCTCGTCATTTATACTCTTCTATTCCTTTTTCGTCATTCAACGTTCCATAAGTGACTTTTTTTTTCTTTTAGTATTAATATTTCCATAATTTTTAAAAATTATCTGCAGGCCGAATTGCGGATGCAGGACGTCAAAAACGTTGTGGTGCACAATCTTTCGGTGTGTTAGTACACAATTTTATGCTTTCAACTTGAGTATAAATTTTTTTATCTCAACCCATTTGTCAAAACTGCTTGAGAATTTTATTTATATTTTTCTGATGTTGATTTTTTCGTGATATTTTGAATCTTGCATATAAGACCCTTGACATTCCAAGGGATATATTCGAGATTTATAATATATTGAAATTGTTAAAAAATCATGTAAGGTCCGTTAGAAAGGTTCTTAATCGTAACACCACAGAATTACATCTTCCGTTCTTTACTTATAACGTTTTTTGTGTTATTTGGTCTGGCAGCCGGGGATGGTTACAACTGATCTTCTCATGTCTGGTGCTAATACAAAGCAGGTTGAGGACACATTATTTTAGATTAATTTTTCTTAATAAATTCACGTATTTTGAAAAACTAAAATAGTTGACCTCTTGCAGGCGAAATTTTTCATCAATGTCTTAGCGGAACCGCCTGAAGTGGTAATGTTTTGAATCTCGTTATGCCCATACTGATCTTTTCGTAGTATGCAGTTGTCCATGTCTGCGGTATTCTAAAAGTGACCTTCATCGCATGTTTCAAGCCTAAGAAAAATTCCCCTTAATCTCATTCACATTTGTTGAATTTTATTAAGTCCCAATTTGACTGACTATTTGGATTTTAAAAGTTAAAACTTAACAACACTACTTCTACTTCTACCTATGAATTTCTTTGATTTTTTTTTGGAGATTTTTTCAAAATCCAAGCGAAACCTTATTTTAGTTTTTGGAATTTGGTTATGATTTCAAATGATTCTTTTAGAACGATGGAAACTATTGCAAAGAAAAGGTAAGAAAATAATCACAATTTTCTAAAATAAAAAATTAAATGGTTATCAATGAGACCTAAAATATTTGTTGATTCATTAATATTTTTGCATACAATTTCATTATATTCCTTAATGAACTTCGCTACTAACACTACAAATGCACTAATCTTTTAGAGCATTAAAAGGCTTATAATTTTTTGCATCTGCCATTTTTCTTCATCTGGCGGTTAACATTTGAGTTTACAGGTCGCAGAATACCTTGTCCCAAACATAAGATCTATCCCGGCCAATGGTTCAACAAGGCCCACATACATTCGTTTTCTCACTGGACTGAAAGCTTATTCCCAGATATTCTCAGTTAAGAAATGACTAATTACTGCTCAATTAAGTTGGAATGTTTTTTTCCCTACTTGCCATCAATTAATTGTTTCATGCTTCCCATGTTATTCAGAGACTTGCTTTTGGTGCCAGAAGAAACAGATATCTTCTAGAAGATTAATAAGAACTTCCCTCCTGTAAGTTCTCTCTGTGAAATTTCTCATTTATCGTTCTTCACCCAGTGGAATGGTTTATTCACAATTTATATACTGGTCATTGATGAAGCATTATGGACCCGTTGGAGTTCTCCTAAAAGTCTGCGCAAGGAAATGGTGCCCTCCTGTCTCTGATCTATCTATTTATCTATATTGGAAAACTGTTGTTTTTTCATTAAATTTCTATATAAATGTTAATTGTAATTTATTATTTATATTTACTTAAAAGTTGTATAACTATTATTGTTTTACCAAACCATTTGCAGAGCATTTTCGTATTTACCGAGGTAACCGAATGGGATAGCGTTTACCTCGAAAAATTATTCGAGGAGGCCGCCAGAGTGTGATGGACAATTCTACATGATTGAGTACATGAGAAAAAAATTGCAAAAGTATTTGAAGTATGTGTCTTGTAGTTATTAAGACGTGCAAAATCTTCCATCCACAATTAATGGTCAGGTGCAAGCTTCACTGAATAATTTTTCGTTATCCTCAACTAAATGTTCTAGGACGTCCATGACCGATTGGGTAAGGTTTGATGTGGGGCAAAATAAGTATCATTTTTATTTTGAATTCAATAATTTGTGCGGGGATTTACTTTCACACCTCTAACATAAAAATAGATGTATAATATTTTAATGCTATGACTATGTTTAGGTTGAGGGACGAAAGAAAAATTCACCTCATCAAGGTATTATGCGTAATAAGTACTTGATCTTGATTTTTACTTTATTACTGAGATATTTTGAGAACCCATTCAAATTTGACGAAGTTTATGCCCATTTGTGGGTTGAAATATTTGGTCTCATTTTTATGTTTTCGAGGTTTGATTGTTGTAGGTAAAGATTGCCTGTGCAAATCAAACCTCGAAAGAAGCTTGCAGGTATGGCCTACAAATTTGGGGCATATTGGAATGGTATTTAAATGAAAATAAAAAATCAGTTACAGAATTTAAGATGCTTATATTATTTAGGGCTATTTGAAATATTATTGTTTTCTCTTTACCATATTCAATTATAAGTTGGGAATCTTGATGAATTTTATCTCCGAAAATCACTGCTTGTACGTTTATTTTATTATTATTATTATTGTAATTATCATTTAAAAAGGGGGAAAAAGAAGAAGCTACACCCACCATATCAACAAATGACCTAAACTAAAAACTATGAAAATATAAGAGATTAAATTGAACTGAAATTAAATTATAAAAACACTCCAACATTAAGGGATTATTACAAAACAAATATTTAACCTAATAAGTCGTGTTTGAAATTAAATTTGTATTTAACCTAATAAACAAAACCCACCCACCATATCAGCCGTTTGAGTATTTGAAAGTCGAATTTCTCTCAAATGGAAAGTTGTATAAAAGAGAAAAGAGAAGCCTCACGTGAGGAAACATTTGCCCAATTCCAAATTCTGAGATAAAAGACAAAAAGAAGAAAAAGGAACCCAAAGACGGCAAACACGAAATCTCCTATACTTAAATTCTCTACTCTTGAAAAAAAAAAAAAATTGTTCTCTCTTATTTTATTGAAACAGTATGTATTTAGTGAGATAAAAAATGAATCCCATTAAAAATTCTCAATCATTGAATAAAATTCCAAACAGTGCTCCAATAAAGATTCACCCGTGACTCTAAGACTTGAGGGGCCCAAATCTGAGTCTGTTGCTAAGAGCTGAAAATATGAGATGAAATGAGAGGCTTCTGTTGTTTGTATCGTATTCCAAAATGTTTTGGTTAGATTCCAAAAGTGCTTTATACAATAGAAGCCCTTTTTGATTGTTTGATTTGTCAGCCTAAAATGCCTATTTTTGCTCAGCATCTGTGCTCCCCGTGAACCACATGCTTTTGGTTCTAACAGTGTTATATATGTGTATGAATGTGTGTACTGTATGTAGATTTGTACGTATATGTGCAAAAATTAGATTTGAACTTTAGCTTTCACTTTCGTTCTATTTTATTGTACGCTAAATTACAAAAAAAAGATTAAAAAATACCTATGTTTGTTAAAAGTTATAATTATTAATTTTGAGGTTTCATTAATGTTTCAAAAATCATTTAAATTTTTCTTGGGTATGAAATTAGAACATGTATGAGCGTGACGGTGTTTGAGTCTCAGTTTCTATTTTGGGTGGCTGCTATATTATTCTAAATTATAAATTTTGTAGAATATTCTAATAGATTTCTACTTCAATAAAGTTTTGAAATATTTATTGCAAGAAGAAACAAAAATATTTTTTACATTAGAGGCAAAGTTTAATAGATATCTTTCAAAGTATAAATTAGCATCTACTTTAATGAAAAAAAATCAATTTTAACCTTAAGTTTGAATTTTAATTATGGACTTAATAAATTGTACTTCAAACTTAAAAAAGTGGTGCAATTTTAGCCTTCAAATAAATTACTACTCTATATGACATTAATTAGGTTGGAAATTTAGAAGCTTAAGCATGAATGTATTTGGTTAAAGTATGACCATTATGGCGATAACATTACTTTGGTGGAATAATTAATGTTTCTTTTTTTCCAAAATACAGCTAACATACATTAATCATACAATCAAGTACAATCAAGGAAATAGGATACTGTTCTACTTCGGGATAAAAAGCCTATGAACATATTTTTATGTATTTTTCATGGATAAATTTATGAGAATTCTGAGTTTTTATGTATACTTGATTATGCTTAAATCTATCTCTGTAACGGTTGATACTTATTTCTTTCTTTTTAAAATTTTATCTTTTCAATCTCTATCAAGAAATGTATTGATTAGCATCATAATTATGGAGATTGTTCCTACCATCACCTTTGATAATTAATGTTATTTTATCTATAAAATCTGTTTGTCTTATGTTATACGTCATAGATTTTGTCGGAATATAGATATAATTTTGTCACTAAGTTGGATTTTTCTACCTGCCAACTTTTTGTATATTAAGCTTCCATTATTAAATCTTGATTATATGATTTTTTTTTCTAGATTATAGCCAGTTTTTTTTTTTTAATATCTTTATTATTTCAAAAGTTGCAGGATTATCGTTGACTTTTTAAAAACGTTTCAAAAATATTGTTAGAATAGAGATCCTTTAAACGGTTTAATAGATAATTAACTATAAAATAGGGTGATGGTAACTAAGATACTTGCCTGCCTGAAAGAATATATTTATTTGAGAGAATGATATTTAGATGCATGGTGTTTTCGTATCCACCGAGCAACTCAAAGGCATTTTATTTTATTCAGTGTTATGATTGTGGTGGAGTACTAAGCCGTTTTAATTTAAGTTAAGCAATGTGTAGGCAATGTCTAGATTCTAATCCCTTGGGAAAGGGGAAAAAAGCACTGATTGATGTTAATGCTTTCTGTTTTACTGCAGCCACTATACTTCTTCTAGTGGCGTTCTTTAAGAAATTGAATATCTATTACCATAAAAAAACCTGGAGAGAGAGAGAGAGAGAGAGAGAGAGAGAGAGCTTCATCTACTTAATGGAGTTTTCAGCTTCTTTCTGCACACTGTAACTTATTTGGTCTCTTCTAGACTGTTCAACCGAAGAGCAGCCACTTTCCCTCATAAAGCTTTAATGGCAAAACTTAAAGCAGCATGCCATTTCCATCTTCTTCTGTTCTTGTTTTTGCTCTCTTTTCATCTTTCAACTCAGCTTCCACCTTCTCAATCCCAATCCCTTTTGCAAATCCTGCAACTTTTAAACTACCCTCAAGCTCTAACCAGCTTTGACAATGTCACAGACTTTTGTGACATTGAATCCACACCATCTCTTACAATAGTGTGCTATGAGGATGATATAACCCAGCTCCACATTGTTGGTGATGTTGTTGGGCGCCCCACATTTCCACAAAATACTAAGATTGATCTCTTGTTTTCCACATTTTCCCAGTTTCTCAACTTGAAGGTTCTTTCTCTGGTTTCTCTGGGTCTTGAGGGTCCATTGCCTCCAACTGTTGGTGACATTTTTTCTCTTGAAATACTCAACTTAAGCTTAAATTCCCTACATGGCTCCATCCCGGAGGTACTTTCTTCTTTGAAAAGCCTACAGTTTATCAATCTTGACGGCAACTGTTTCAGTGGTAACATTCCTAGTTGGATTGGTTCCCTACCAGTCTTGACTACTCTGAGTTTACAGAACAATTCGTTTAATGGGTCCTTGCCAGATTCCATTACGCATATGTGGAGTCTTCGAATTCTCACTCTCTCAAGAAATTCTCTTTCTGGGAACGTCCCAAACCTCACCAATTTAACGAACTTGCAAGTTCTTGAGTTGGGAGACAATCTTCTGGGACCCCAGTTTCCTAAATTACCAAAGAGGTTGAGTATACTTGTTCTAAAAAACAACACATTTCGCTCGGGTATCCCAGCTGAGTTAGGCTTCTTGTATCACCTTGAAAAGGTGGACATATCTTCTAATAAACTTGTTGGGCCGTTTCTGGCATCGCTTTTGGCACTTCCTTCGATCAAGTATCTGAATATTGGGGGAAACAGATTAACTGGGCTGCTTTTACAGAACACATCTTGCAATAGTGATCTTACTTTTGCCAATCTATCCTCGAATCTCTTGATAGGAGACTTGCCCGCCTGTCTTCAGCAATTGGAGTCCAAGAACGGTGATATCATTTATGCTGGAAATTGCTTGTCAAATCAAGACCAAAAACAGCACCCTTTAAAGTTCTGTCACAATGAAGCTTTGGCAGTGAGTATTAGGCCTCATAATCGGGAGCATAGGCAACCTCCTCGCGGGGTAATGACTTTCTTAAGAATTTTAGGAGGAAGTGTTGCTGGAATTATAGTTTTTGCTCTGATGTTCTTAACGATGAGAAGGACATACAAAATGGGTGTTGTTAAAGAACCTTCAACAAGGTTTATAACAGAAAATTCATCCGTAACAGATACGGCCAAGCAGCTGTATGATGCCAGTAAGATAAATGTCTTATTTTTCTTTCTAGTTGATGATTTCTTGAACTGGTTCGACCTTATTAAAGCAAAAGAATTGAAAAGTAATCACTTCTATTTGGACCACTTTTCTTTTCTACCAAGTTTTGTTAATTTTCACTAGGAATGTATTGTGAGTTATGAATTTAATACATCCTCGTATAAATCCACCATGTGCTAGCAGAGTATATATCTCAGACAATGAAGCTGGGAACTAGTCTTCCTCCTTATCGAACTTTCAGTTTGGATGAACTTAAAGAGGCTACCAACAACTTCGATGCTTCGACTTTGATAAGCGAAAGTCTGGATGGC